ACATTTATCATTTTTAACGAAAGTGTTAATTTTTTTTTTAAATTTGCATTATTATATTATATATATTATTATTATTATTCGTTTGACGATATTTATTGGGCAAAAAAATAATTATAATTAACATTTACCGACGCACCTACATGTTTCTTTTAATAATACATTATAATATAACTAACCTACGTGTAGTACCTACTTGATATAATACAGTTTTTACGTGATTCCGATTTGGTTAAATACTGCTACAGATTATAAATACTATATTAAAAAATAGTACGACTGTAATATGACTGCTTCATTTGCCGTTTTTTTCGAAAATTCGAGTCCCGGGGTGGAGTAGTGTGTCGGAAACGAGAGTATGTATAGTGTATTCATTTATAGATACCTACGTTTAATAGGATAGTATTACATTTCAATAAAATTTGTTATTCACCAATATAATTATCTATTTGTTAATTTGACTTAATTCTCATAATTAAATAAATATACAAGGTAGGTATATTTTAGAAAATATCCAATCAGAAAATTAGATTTTGTCGACTTATTTGTTATAACCGCGAAAACATAACAATGATTACATTGATTACAGTGAAGCCTAACATAAAACACCTGATAACTGTTCTCTATAATTATCAACAAATACAATTTTATTACCTCCTGTATACTTTTTCATATTTGAACGGCCGTTTCGAGCACTTTTCGCTGTAGGCGGATTGTCCGTTCGGGAATCGGATTTCACCCGAGATGACTGATAACTAGACACTCAAACTCAGAATCCGAATTTCCGATTTCAACACACACACACCAGAACCGGACATACACGCCCGGTGCATGGTCTGCGATCCGACGTAGTCGGATTGCCTACCTGACTAGCTACTTGCATACGAGCGACTTACACCCCCACTGCATCTGACACTCGGGAATCGACTTTCACCCGAGATGACTGATAGCTAGACACTCAAACTCAGAACCTGAATTTCCGATTTCAACACACATACGAGAACCGGACATACACACCCGATGCATGGTCTGCGATCCGACGTAGTCGGATTGCCTACCTGACTAGCTACTTGCATACGAGCGACTTACACCCCCACTGCAACCGACACTCGGGAATCGAGATGACTGATAGCTAGACACTCAAACTCAGAGAACCCGAATTTCCGATTTCAACACACATACGAGAACCGGACATACACGCCCGGTGCATGGTCTGCGATCCGACATAGTCGGATTGCCTACCTGGCTGGCTGTGTCTTACGATCGACTTGAATCGCGTGACTTACGACTAGACACTCTTCCGAGTTCAAAAATTACCGCTTAACCAGTGCTGCCAACACGACAAAACACAATACCCGACGACCCCCCCTTCCCGACGCAGGCTGGATCAAAAAACCCAGCATCGCCGACAAAGATGCACCACCGCCCACACAGTCTTTCCGCCGTAGGCGGGATGACAAACACTGGAATCTAGTGTTATAATAATATATTTAATATTATAACAGTTTTTGAAAATATTATGGAAATTAAAGGTAAAGGTTGCAGAACCAAAAACCAGAAAAATGGTCGAATGATCAAATAGAGACGTTGATTGAAGCGTATAAAGAAGAGCTCTGCTTATTTGCAACAAATTTAGCGAAAAATCACAATAAACTCTTAAGAGCGGATGCCATGGAACTTGTTTATAAAGCTGTGATGAGGTCGAAGCCAATAACAACATCAAAATAATGTTTATCAAAATTCCATAACTTACTTAACCAATTCAACATAGAAACTGCCAAAGTTAAAAGATCATTCAAAAGCGGGACTGGTACTGATGCCAATGGCCTACAGCAGGGGTCTCCAAACTACGGCCCGTGGCCCGCATCGGTAAATATAGATAAAAAAATTATTTCAAAAATGTATTTATATTATATTATATATATACCTATTTATTTTTATTTAAGTATATTGTAAAGTAAACAATATTTTATACAAAAATATAAAGTAAACATATTATTTATATAGGTAGGTACCTATATTCCCATAAAATTAAAAATTATATGTGTTAATAAACTTTTGGCCCGCTAAGAGCATTTTATTTTTTTTGTGGCCCTTGAATAAAAAAGTTTGGAGACCCCTGGCCTACAGATATCAAGGGCTTCTTACTTCTTACTTCTTTACAAATTTTGGTACCCACCCAAAAACCCAAATATATTATTTTTTATATAGGTAGCCCAAATGCGCAAAATTGATTTGCACTTTTATAGGTACCTATAAAAATGTGATATACCTACGTAAAATCAAAATTCAATTTTATTAGATGTTATAATTACAGATGTTATAATAGTAGGTAATTACTAATAGGTACTAAATCTTAACTTAAAATATACCTACGCTTGTTACATACATTGCATTTCCAAATATACATTGCGTATTTATATTTAAAAACAAATTTAGTAGAATTATGTTCTTTGGGTAAATAAAAATAAAATATTAAATAATAAATAAATATATTATATATTATCAGCTTTAATGAGTTATTTTGCAAGATATAAAGGAAGGTAGTACTCCGTTAGTACTGCAGGTATAATTTTAAAACAACCTATATGGATTTCATGATGCACCTTCTACACAATTTTACCTGTGAACTGTGATCTTCCTGATTTATTGAAATTCAGCCCCGGTTGTGGCTGAGCTTGTGGTGAAGGCACTATAGCCGGGTGTAGACCTACGCAGTTGGGCGTTATTCGAGTGAAATTTTATCTAGATGATTATTTAGATAACATTTTATTCGAATAAATTATTATTCGAATGATTTTTTTACAATTATTCGAATTAAAATTTATTCGAATAATTTTTTTTACAATAATTCGAATAAAAATTTATTTGATTAATTTTCAACTATTATTATTCGAATATTTTTTTTTTACAATTATACAAATAAAAATGTATTCGAATAATTTTCAACTATTTTTATTCCAATAAAAAATTAACCGATTCAATTTTAAACATAGATATTCGAATAAACAATAAACAAATATCTATCAACAGAAGAAAGTTAAGAATTAGAAAATTAGATATGTTTTTTTTAATTATATTTTAATAATAGTTTTATAATATTATAATATGAATAATATTTAATGGTAATATTTCATAACAATTATTACATAGTAATAAATATATAAATAGTAATAAATAATAATTACAAAAACATAAATAAATAATTACAGCAAAAATGAAAATATACAATTATAACAAATTTAGAATTTTAATAAATAAGTATAATAATAGGAAGAAACTAATTATAATTATAATAATTATAACAATATACTTATTAGTTATTAATGCATTTTTAAATTAGATTTCAAAATAACCCTCCCTCCAAACATATAATTTGAACTTATAAATATGAGATACAACATATTATGTACCTTAGTAGTTAGTACCTATATAGTATGATATGTTATATACGATAGTAGCAATATCTAAGAAAAATGATTTTATTATGAACTATGTTTAATCAAATTAAATAACTAAGAATTATTCGTATAAACGTCTTTAAAATTTATTCGAATAATCATAGATGAAAATTATTCGAATAGTTTTTTATTCGAATAATTGTAAAAAAACATTCGAATAGTTTTTTATTCGAATACAGATTTGTTCGAATAATTATCTAGATAAAACCTAGTCTGAGGCTATACATTGCGGATATTGGAGCAACCTCCGTTATACAGAGTATAGTTTATTATAGTTTTTATAGTTAATTAGAATATAGTTAGAATATGTAGTCAGGAGTAGCGCTCTAATTGTGCGACGCTACGCATTAGCACTCTACTTTATTTGTATCGATTGACGTTTTATTAATTGTATAGCTACAATACACCTAATGTACCGAAATAATTTATTGAGATATAAATTGTTGGTTTAAGCGTAGCGGAAATAACCATTATCTTCAACCAGTTCAACCTATTTGGTGATAGTGTGGTATCACCCGTATTGGACAATACTCGGTAAACCAACTGTACGCCTTACCCTCGTATTCTCTAGTTAATGACACTCTCTAAAATTAATTAAAATGGCACTGTTAACTTTGAGGTACGATGATATGCGCATGTCAATTCTGAGTTCGTTCCTGTCTAGTTGAAATGACTCAAAGAGTACATTTACCTTGGCACTATTCAGTTTAATAGAACTTCATTGACACATAGTACGTATATCCCGGCGCGGCTCCTATAAAAGGTAAGAACTTTAGAATGACTGAAATTATTATAAACTCGGGTTTTCAAGTCGGAAACACTTTTATTAATTTGAAACAAACATAAATAATTCATTTATTTTAAATATACTCGGTCCGTACTATTGCTGCCGCTTCACACGCGCAGTCGTCGTACCTACGTCCTCGCCGAATCACTCAGCAACAACGGGACTCCGCGTACGGCGGTGTTATATAGTAAAATATTATTGCTGCCTCCGCACATATTGCTTCACTGGCCTGACCAATGTCAATAATTAACAATTAAAATATTCCCACCAATATTATGTGCACATTACAGTGACGACTGTAACATTACTATAACATCACGACATTACAGTGTCTACAATATACGACAATAGTTAAAATGGTATGTTAACTATTATATTTATTTATTTATATTATAATAATGATGGGAATATTAATTAATTTTTAGGGTTTAATCCACTTTTAGCTAACGATTAGTTTTAAAATATAATTTTTATGTTTTATAAATATTTTATATTTCAGAAATCGATTACAATGGTTATCTGCTTAAAAATTAGCAATATCTTACTCAGCCGGGACAGAAGGTTATCTGCAGGGAACATTGTTGCGTCGTTGGCAAAAACGAAGAAATGCTGAACTCCGAGAGAAATATATAAGAAGCAGCATAATAAATGACTTGGATGTTCAGTTACAAGCTGAGAAACAAGTATAAATAATTTTGAGTTTTATTATTATCACATTTTATATTATCAGAACATTGCTTAGGCAAGGACAGGCTATGGAAATCCACTCAAAAGAGCTTAAAGTGGCTAGCGAAAAACACGTTGAAAAATTGGAATGTATACTTGAAGAAGAAACACAGCCCAAACATGATGAAGAAATAATTCGTAACCTACAAGCTAGGTAATTATAATTGTTGTATTTTGGTAAATATATGTAATACACACATTTAATATACTTCATGTCCTATCAAAATATGTATAGGAGAAAATCAACTAGTACAACTAATATACTGTTGTAGTTTGTTAATAAATTCAGATTACCACATTTAAAACTATTGAAATTAGAACATTTCGCTTTAATCCATAAAACATGATTTTAAACTAGATTTATTTGTGTAAGTGTGCAAATCATAATTATGAAATAAAATTGATTTGTTTATCTATTTCCCTGATCCTTAATATAATTAAACACTATTTTTAGAGTATTAAGGGAAGAATGGGAAAAAAGGGAAAAGCTAGAAAGGTTACAGGAAGAACATATACATTGCTGTTGGAGCAAAAAAAGAGAAGAACGAAAAGAATTTGAGATTGAACAACGAGAAAAAGAAAACCAATTGCTAGGTAAGATATTGTATAGAATAATTCACTATTAAACATTGTTCAAGTAAATACAATATAATATTATATAAGTTAAATTCTTAGTTAAATTCTTCAAATACTTAAAGTTGAAAAAATGTAATCATTGTTTTAGAAGCCCAACAAATTTTAATTGAATTGGAAGCTGAAAAACAGCGACTTGATGAAGAATTGACAAGAGCTCAAAAAAAAAATTAGTGTTTCCAAAAAAGCTGTAGCATCAATTACAATGGTAGAGCCCTTAATACATTCATTTATGATAATTATAGTATAATAACTAGGGGCCGGAATTATATTCTTTTAAAATAGTCAAAATAAGATGCTAAATTTTCTTAAAAAGTTGAAAATATTCTATATGCAAAATATTTAATTAAGCAAATAATACAAACTGATATAACTGTTATTATTAATAACTATTATAGATGTATCTATTATAAAAAAATATAAAAAGATTTAAGAATGTTAAATATTGACTGTTTAGACTTTAGACTATAATGATAAATGTAAATAAAAAAAGTTTACAAATCAAGATAAATTTTATGTATTTGCAGGCTGAAATATTGAACATAAAGCCACAAGTTAAAGTGAGTATGACTATGTAATTTATACCATCCACAAAGACAAAAGAACTACCAATTCATTTTTATAAATGAGAAGACTAACTATTTATTTTTTTTATTCAATCATTTATTTATAATTATTATGTATTATAATTATTTTTTATTATTATAATTGTCTTGTTTATTAAAATGTAAGGAATTTCTATAATTAAATCATAAAACCAGTTTTACAATGAGTTACAACATTTTATTTATACAATAAACATGAGATAAAAGAAAATTACTTACTTGAATGTTGTATCTCTAGAACGATACAGTATACCTCTATCCTTCATTTCCCTTACAAACTTTCGAGGTAATCGACCAACAACAGAAATAGCATATATGCCTTTTGTAAATCTATCTATAAGAATAACAGTTCATTAAATATATTTATTAAGTATATTTATACTTAATAATAGTTCAAAATTAAAATTGAAACTTCCTGATTTTTTGAAATCTAACAACCCAACTGTCTTCAGGGCTGATAAGTGCAATCATTCTATGAATAAATAATCAAATAACTTACAATTAGTTATAGTAACTTATTAAAGTAGTGTTACAGTAGTATTGTACTACATACCCATCAAAATTTGAACTAGTACAATCATATATGTGATCACGGTTGTTTTTCAATCTCAAAAATTCATCACAATTGTCAGACAGTGTGATATGAAAAAACTCCACTTCATGTGAATTGAAAAAGTGTCTTAATTATATTATGTTCATTCATATAATACGAGAAAGGTTTTATTTATTTTTACAAAAAATATACAATCTATACATTTAAGCACAATAAGTATATGTGAGATGCGAATAACAAAACCATTATGAGGTTACGTGAATATGAGAAAGACAGAAAGTTAAGATAAAAATAGGTGCTATGCTGTACAGTAGGTTACAAGTGCCAAGTGGGTCACTGTGTAATGGATAGTATTAAATTTAAATTCAATGATATAATATCATTGTATAAGAAAAACGATTCTGAGTGGAGATGGTATGTCAGTCTAGGTATAAGGCATATTATATACTTATTTATGGTATTAAAAAAAAATGACCTATTATAGGTACCTAGGTACCTGTAATAAATTCCAAATTAAATGCTCATAAAAAAACTCTAAATGCTTATAAAAAAAACTGTGACTAAGGATTTTTAATATTTTTCAAATGCCATTGTAACAATATAGTAGGAGCCTTGTATTAAAATTTCAAGCTTTTTTAACCAACAAATAAAATGGTATTGGTATTTTTAGAAAAAAAAACGGAAAATGAAAATGTGCCTAAAAAGTTCAAAATAAATCAAAATATTTTGAAAATGTTATCGTGTATAGAAAATGCTAGTATAAACATTAAGTCAAAATGTCATGTACCTACGGTCATTTGTTTAAGAGTATAGAGTATATAGCAGGCGTGCCGAACCCGTGGAAGTATTCCAACCAGCCCGTGACCATTTTATAAAATTAGAAATATGTATCTATACAGTATAAATTAAACTTAAAATAATAATCATGATTTAAAAAAAAAAATTTATTTTTAAATAAGAATTACAAATTATCTTACAATTTGTAAGTAAATTAATAGTGTATATTTTATGAAAATGAACCAGTATATACGACGCGCAGTATATTTTGAAAATGTTATCGTGTATAGAAAATGCTAATATAAACACTCAGTCAACATTTAATGTACCTACGGTCATTTGTTTAAGAGTTGCACCAAAAACCAAAATTTTTTTTTTCGAAAACAGATTTTAGTGTAAAAATTCCCGTTTTTTCTTAATTTTTATTTTGTTTTTCACGCCGCTTTTGAAAACTACTGTGAAGTTTTCACTTTTGACCCCCCAAAGTACCATTTAGATTCACTTTCCTATCAGAAAAGCTACTGTTGAAGAAAATCCAAACACTTTTACTGTACTAAAACGTGATGACAGAACTAAAAAAAAATAATAATAAATTTAAAAATTTAAAATTAAAAAAAAAACACACATCATTGTAAAATCAATACATTCATCTTTCATTCGTTCCACTCAGAATCTAAAATAATAATTATAAATAAATAAATAAATAATATTAATTATATTATGTACCTATATGAAAACCCCTTGTAAGATATGTTTAGGCAATAGAATATAATATAGTATTAGCTCTTATTATACCGGCTTTATCAGTTTATCATAATTAAAAATAAAAATTTTAATTGGTGATTTCTGGTCTTTAGCATAAGTAGGTAAACAATGTTGTTTCGTGATTTTTATATAAATTGTTGTCATATATATATTTTTTTAAATTTATATTAGGTATGGCAGTGATGAAAACTTGTTTGATACTGTCTTTTATAAAACAAATTTGTTCATAAAGTGTGAAAATTATTATTACAAACGATTATTGTTCAACAATAATATAATATGATAGACACGCCTTAAAATCATAATCAATAAAACATTAAAGGCACTGCTCGTGTCTATACTATATAGCAGGTAATAGGTATGCCCAATCTTTCTGAACTTGCGATCCACATTCAAAATTTATATTTATACTGCGCGTCGTATATACCGGTTCATTTTCATAAAATATACACTTTCAATTTACTTAAAAAATGTACGATAATTTGTAATTCTTATTTAAAAATAAAATTTTTTTTTAAACCTTGGTTATTATTTTAAGTTTAATTTATAATTATAGGTACTCTATAGATACATATTTCTAATTTTATAATATAGTCGTGGGCTATATACTATGTTATTATATATTATGTATAAATGTTCTATCGCTATGTTCTTAACCTGTTGTCCGGGGGCCCTTGGGGGTCCACGATACTCGTGTTGGGGGTCCACGGCAGCCTCAACACATAAAATACATCAATAAGTGACAGAGTGCATTTTGACAATATTATTGGATTATTATTTTTTTTTTCATATATAATAATATGTAGATACTACACCAAATAATTGTATTATTAGTATTTATTAAGTAGGTAATCAGTTTTTCTTGTTCATACGAAATGTACATACGTACAGCACTGTAGTCTCGGCAGTCTTATATTTACTACCACTATAATTGCAGTTGATCGATCGTAGTATCGTACTCAATTATAGTTTTATATTACATTTTTTTTTTTTTTTTGGTTATGATAACATGAGTCATGAGATGTTTTGTAAAAAAATTGGTAAGGGGGTCCGCGATTTCTAAAAATCTTTCATCAGGGTCCGCGATCTACAAAAGGTTAAGAACCGCTGCTCTATGGTATAAGTATCAATATTTGGGAAATATGCAATTTGTCGCCGCATGTTATCTTTGTGTAAATTGTAAATTATCATTATAAGAACGTGGTACTCGCATGTGTTTTCTCCGTCTTACGAGTTTACCCAGGACTAACAATAAAATAGGGGGCTGGCATAATGGGTTTTCAGCAATGATAAGTCATACACGACCAATTATTTGGAAATTTATTGAGTCATTAAAAAAAGAAGAAAGTTTAAATAAAATGATAATAGAACAAATAATTGCTGGCCATGTACCATGTAAAAAAAATAAATATAATGATTCATCTATTAGATTTATGCAGATATGTAAAAATGTTAATAATAATCCAATATGCGAGGTTTTGAAAGGTATTGCTCATAATTTTAATTTTTATAAATAATAATATTATTTTTATTTTTGTGTTTTTTTAAAATATATTATTTAGATTATTATTATTATTTTTTTTTTTATTGGACATTATAGCTTCGACATCATAGGTCATTAGATTTTAAGATTTATACTAATATATATATATTTTTGGATGAAAAAAAAAGAAGTTTTTAGATTATTATTATTATTACCTACTTTGATTGAATTTAATTTTACATTTTATAAATACAAATATATATTATAACAATAAGCTAAAATGACTGATATGTAAAATTATTATTATCATTTAGAATATACCTATATAAATATATGCGATAAAATGACGCTCGACCAAATATCGTATGCGTCCAATTGTCTTGCGACAAAATTACCGCGACGAAATGACGTAATCTGAGTTTGGTAACAACCCATACACTAAAATAAAATATGGACCAAAAACAAACTACTAAACTTAATCCAAAAGTATTTAAATATGGATATGAGTATACTATTTTAAGAATAAATAATTATAATAAAAAAATAATTACAAATACTGCACAATTACTTGAAATAATATGCCATACTTTTAATTTTTAAAATTTATATAAAATTATGATTTATAATATTGACAGTTCAATTTTTAAAAATTCACGAAGCCTGTACATAGCACGAACTTATTTTCATAACTATTATTATTATTATTATTTATGTCTGTAAACTACGTGTGTTCTGTAATAACAAATTATTTGATATTTTAATGTGATAATTTAATTATTTTTTAATTTATTATTATTAACGCCACTAGGCCACTGGGTTCCTTTTCGTTATAATACAATATGTTAAAAATATTTGCTTTGAGTATTTTGATGGCCCCCGAAAACTGTCAAAATTCCCAATGTGGCCTTCCAAAAATATTAATTGGTGATTTCTGGTCTTTAGCATAAGTAGGTAAACAATGTTGTTTCGTGATTTTTATATAAATTGTTGT